TCAGATCTCCTCATGGAAAGGTCTGATCACAAAATGATAGTGGGAAAAACCACATTTTCCTTCCATGTGGAATTGCAAAAATATAATATAATGTTACTGCAGGTGTTGAAAATCCTAAGATATACATGTGTCATTTAACACTGTTTTAAAATAGCAACCATTCATTCATACAAAAGGCAAGGAATTTTCCTGTGTATTTTATATTCTATAGGAATCAGTTGTATTATCATAACTCTCCCCAGGATTCTACTTTTCACTGAATGGATTGCGTTTTTCAAAATTATTTCTTTCTGACTTCCTACCTTCTGATACAGTTGCCACTGTAAAGATACATGTACGGTATGGAATTAATTATGTGAAGTAACGCGTAGGGCAAACTTTTAGCAAGTAAGATTGTGTTGTGGCCCACCAGCAGCCAGCAGAGCTGGCAGCAGATTCGGACAGTGAGGAGGTTGGGGAGGAACATGGGCCAGTCCTGGAGTCTGGGGAAGGCTGGGCTGTATGTCGGAGGCAGAGATGGGGCCAGGGCCATCTGACAGTTATCAGCTGCCTTTGGAGTCAGACATCAGTGAGGCAGACAAACAGCTGGAGCCTGTTCCCAGTGTGCCCATGCACAGAGTTGCCAGACAAAGGGAACAGCTAAGAAATCAGGGTCGACTTGGGAGCAAGGCCACAGGTGGACCAGTGAATTGCCTTAATAAAAGAGGGAATAAGAGGGAATAAAAGAGGAGCGAAAGGGGAGGGGTGTTTGCAGGAGACAATTAATTCATTCCTGCATTCTTGCCAAGTATTGTGGCATCTGAAAGATATCGGCCTGGCCAATATCTCCAAGCCTGATAAAGATTGGTAATTGTGTACTATCTTGAAAGACTGTGGGCTGGGACTTTGTTGGATATTTTATTATATTCTGTCTCACCCTTGTCCTTGAGCGCTAGAATCAGTCTGTCCATCTCTGTGCATGTTAGTATATTATTTATTATTTCTTGTTCTGAGAGACCCTCTTTGGTCTTGCAGACATTTTATTACCCAACTAGGTAACATCACCAGTACTAGATGGGTAATGAAACCTCTGCTAGAAAACAACCAAGCCCAGAGAGCACCAAGGAACTCACATGTCCAACCATGAGCTACAAATATTTTCTACTATTAGTAAAACATATATTCTTCAAGTCAGCCTTGACTCCCGGACAAATTCATGCAGTTTTCCTGGCAACGTTTTCAGAAATAGTTTGCTATTTACTTCTTCCAGGGCTGAAGGACAATGAGTGGACCAAGATCACCCAGATGGCTTCATATCTAAGGCAAGACAAGAACTGACACTTTCTCAGCATCTAGCCCAATGTCTTTAGCAACAACCCCAGATTAGCTGTCATAAATAATATAAGTAACTAATCATCAACAATCCATAGAAAAAGTAATGTATAATAATAGGGAATACAATAATTAACAGCTGAGATTAAAGCAACTCTGGCAGGAAAAATGGTCCTTGTTTGGACATGAAAATATGGGAACCTTTTATTCCTAAGCCTGTTAAAGATTTTTTTTAAAAGTGTCAGGAAGTGAGTTAACTATTCAATCATCAAAAGTCCCTTGTAATTTGAATAGGTGGAAATGCTAAAAAAGCACACCAAAACTTTGAAAGCCCTTCTTAAAAGCAATTAGAGGCTACTTGACTCCTTCATTTCCCCAGTGTATCATGTACAATACAGCAATGAAAAATGAAGTATGCAAGAGAGTTGGCTTTCAGGATACCTATTTTACTTATTAATCAGCAGTGGGGGGGAAAGTGGCTATATTTCTTCCCAGGCAAGAGATGAGCAATGTTGTGTGTCCAAGGGCCCACCCAACAGGGTCTCTACAGCTGTAATGACTTCTCTCTAAAAAAAAGGCAGGATGAAAATGTTTGTTTTTTTCCTGTTGGATTTAGCAAGGCTGCTAAAGCCTGTTCCCTATATATGCCATATTTATCTTTTGCATTCTCTGGGCCCCAACAGAGAAAGTAGCAGATTTCTTCCCAGGTTAAATAAGTTTCAAATTACTGAGATTTTTAATTGAGATTCTTAAATACCCTTCCAAAATGTTTTTGTTTTGGATTGCCCTAATCACGAGAGATATTTAGAAATAGCTTTTGGCCACCACAATGTAGAAAAGATGTGGAGATGTGGAGAAAAGATGTGGAGACTCTAGAAAGAGTGCAGAGAAGAGCAACAAAGATGATTAGGGGACCAAAGGCTAAAACGTATGAAGAACGGTGGCAGGAATTGGGTACGTCTAGTTTAATGAACTCACTAGAGAAGTGCGTAATATTGGGAACGATTGAGAGCAAAAGAAGGAGGGGGACAACAGAGAATGAGGTGGCTGGATGGAGTCACTGAAGCAG